GAGGAAGAGGAGGAAGGACAGTTTGCACAAAGGCCAGGCTTCTAGAAACTCAGCCTGGCTGGATCTTGACCTTCTGTGGGTGGAGCAGGTCGATTCCCAGCCCTTTCCGTGAAAGTTCTAAGAGCAGAGGTCCCAGCCCTGGAAATCCCCGGCCTACACTGGCCTGTGGCCTAGTTTGCCCTGTAGCCCTATGAGAGCTAGCTGGCCTAGGGACAAGGTACACAGACATTTATTAGGACCTGAGTCAAAGGTCAGTGGAACAGGAGAGTGAGAGTCTGTTGTTGATCTCTGAATGTGGACCCTGGACTCTCAGGTCTAGAAGGAAGTGAGAGAGCTGATGTCAACAGGGAACCTACAGCGTGCTGGTGGCAACATGCCAAGTGTCTATATATAGCACACTGTTGGACTCCAACTTCATCTCCTCTTTTCTTCCTTTTTTTTTTTTTTTTTGAGAAAGGCTCTCACTATGAAGCACAGGCTGGTCTTGAACTCGTGATTCTCCTGCACCAGCCTCCAAAGTGCTAGGTGCTAGGATTACAGGTGTGTCATCCCCCTGTCTCTCCATTTCTCTTCCCTGTCCTAGGCCACTGAGGCTCTGAGTGTCTTTCTCTCTGTCCTGGGTGGGTGTTGCTGACTGACTTTGCCCAAATGACCCTGGAGGACTCTGGTGGTAGACAGGGGAGTGTCATGTGGGAAAGACCTCACTAGGTTGTGCTGCGTGTAGCAGGCTTGGAACCTTCCCTCTCTACTCTGACGCTTTCCCGAGGGAAGCCAATTTCTAGAAGATTGACCTCTCCGAGATTCAGTTTCTTTGTAAAATGGGGTTAACAATTCTTACCTTGCTGGTCTATTGTAGGATTAGGAATTTTACTGAATAAATGATAGCCACTAACATACACAACATAAGCTGGATAAATGATAGCCACTAAAATACACCACATCGTTAAACCATCTTTTCATGGCATTTGTGGAGGGCTGGCAGCCTCTCCGACACCTCTCTATCCCATAGAAATTGCAGTCCTCCAGCCGCTCCTCTTCACCCTTGTGGGAAAAAGCTGTGTTCTGACAGGTCCCAGGGCCCATGCCCATGATGCCTGATGCTCAGACATGTGGTAGCATCCTTTGCTTTTCAGCTGGCAGGCATGGCCCCCTTCCTGGGCTGGCCTGGTGCTGAGGACTGGCCCTGTGCCCTGCTCCTCTGCCAGCTGGGCGGCTGGGCCCGCAGCAGCTTGGACAAGCTTGAAGGCCCAGCAGGGCCTCTGTGAGTGGCAGCCTCCCTGAGCCCTCTGTTAACACTGGGCCATCTGGTGCCTCTGTCCCCTTTTGTGTGCCTGGGGTGGGGTGGCAGAGGCAGGAAGGCAAGAGAGGAGGGGACAGGGGATGCCATGGTCAGCTTTCTTCCCAGTTGAAGGAGGACGAGTCTGAGGGAAGCCAGTCTTGAGAAGGAGGTAGCCACTGCAGACTCAGGAAAGACTAGGCAGGGTGGGGATGGTGTGTGTGTGTGTGTGTGTGTGTGTGTGTGTGTGTGTGTGTTTCTATAGAGTCTTGATAGATGTGAGGAAAGGAAGACAGAGCGGGATGCAGGAACAAAAGCTGGATGGGGAAGAAAGCATGGCGCAGAGCAGGAATGGAAGACACCAGAAAGCTATGAAGGGACCTGGGGACATGACCTAGTTGGTAAAGTGCTTGATACATAAGCAGGAGGACCTGACTTAGCACCCATCTGAAAAGCTGGGCATCCTGTGTGCCCGCAATCCCAGCACTGGGGAGTAGACCCAGGAGGACCCTTGGGGCTCCTTGACTAGTCTAGCTGAACCGGTGAGCTCCAGATTCAGTGAGGGAGCCTGCCTCAAAAAATCAATAAGGGTGGAGAATGAGTGAGGAAGGCGCCCCACATCATCCTCTGGCCTCTACATTTGGGAACGCATAGACATGCACACCCCTGCCCTAAGAAAACCGTGAAGTGGAGGCGCTAGCAAGTCTCTAAGGGAAAGGTTATGTGGCTGCCCTCTTTCTGCCCAAGGAAAAGGGAAGTGAGAGAGTATGGTTGGGGTCCTTCCCTGTTTAGGCATAGGGGAAAGAAGGTGGCTAGGACCTGTGGGTAGTCCTCCATTAGAGAAGCCTGGGGTCCCAAGACCTCCATCCTCAGCTCCGGCTTGGGTTCCTGTCACAACTGCTGTTCGCTGTGGATGTTAAGATCTGTGGGAGTCTTATCCCAGCAAGAACCCTCGGGAGGGCTGCAGTCTCGGGGCTGGGGAGAAAAAAAAAGTGCCCCCGACAAACATCCGTCCTCTTTGGTGTGGTGCCCAGGGCATTGGAGGCTGGGGTGGGCTTTGAGGACCTTAAGCTTTGGGTCTTCACAGTGGTGTAGCATGAGTAACAGTTACAGGTACAAAGAACCATTGATGACAACAAGATCCCCGCTTCACATTTCTCTGGAGCTGTTGGAATTGGTCTCCTTTTCTGTGCCCAGTAAACACTTTTCTTGGGAGCTGCACCAACTGACCTTGGGTTGGAAGCATCTCTTCCTGAAGATAGTGTTCTCAAAGGCCACTCGGAATTACGCTCCCCTCGCCGGCTGGGTTTTCTAAACAGCACCTCACTCTGGGCTGCACCTGTCTGAGGTGTGGTAAGCCCTTTGGATGCCCTTGAAGAGGCCCTGCCATGGAAATCAGCATCTTCCTTCTGGTCCCATCTGGTCACCATCGCTGTCCCTGGGGCAGGGAATCTCTTCTAAACTGATTCCCGATGGAGCTGCCGGGGGAGCACATGAGGCCGTGCTGGAGCTGAGTGTGATCGATTTGGCGCATGGAGAGTCGTTTGGCGTCAACCAAGTCCACAGGTTTTTGTTTTGTTGTTTTGTTTTCCTCCCACCATTACAGTCACCTGAAGAGCGTGGGTTGGAAGCTCTAGGGGACACTCTACAACTCTGACGGTGAACCGGGGGTGCCCCAACCTGCTCCCCAAATGGGCAAGTGTGTTGTGGTTCCAGCCCTGCCGAGCCTTGGAGGGGACCGCAGTGTGAGCGGGGAGTGCCCCTTGCCAGAGTTGTGACCTTGAGGAAGGTCAGACTGCGGCTCAGAACATCTTGAAGGTCACCAGATGAAGCTGAAAACGGACAGAGCTTAATAGGTAGGAGATGCCCAGTCGCATGCGTCTACAGACAGGCTCACAGCTGGCTAACTGGAGCCACCCGAGGTAGGCGTGAAAGTGACCTTCATCAACTGCTACTTATTGAGTACTTACGACTTGGGTGTTGTACCACAGATGGTCACAATTAGTCCCGCCAACCACCTTGACAGGCACAAGTGAGGAAAGCATGGTCCAGAGAGACTAAGGCATTTCCCCACTAGCACATGGCTAGTAGAAAATGACAGTCACTTTTTAAACTGTCACCAAGGGAGGACAAAAGCTGGGTGCTTTCCAGAGAGCTGTACTCCTGCCGGCCCGATGGGAATGGAGTAGAAGGAGGGGCATGGGTGTTGGGGTGCTGTTGGAGAGGGTCAGAACTGGTAGAAGGAGGAGCATGGGTGTTGGGGTGCTGTTGGAGAGGGTCAGAACTGGTTGCAAGATGAGTCCCAGGGTTGAAAATGCTGTGAGTAGCAGGCAAGGTTGAGCGCTTGCCTAGCACATACGAAACCCTAGATTTGACACCCCAGCACGGTATAAACTGGGCAGAGTATCTGCAAATCCAGCACTTGAGAGGTGGAGACAGGAGAATCAGAAGTTCAAGGTCATCCTCAGCCTTATAGTGAATTCAAGGTCCAAGTGAGATATATGGGTCTCTGTCTCAAAAAGAGGGAGGGAGGGAGAGAGAAAGAGAAAGGGGGCATGCCATCTCTCCAGCCTGAGCAGGACATTGATGTTTGGAAAGCTGACATGCATTTCTTTTAAGTGGAGAAAATAACAGGCACAGAATCACAGGGCGGGGCTGACGAGATGGCTCAGTGAGCAACAGTGAGGATCTGAATTTGGATCCGAGCCCACATCAAAAGCTGGGAAGGGCTGCACCTAAGCCTGGCACAACTCCAGAGCCATGGGGGGCAGAGGCAGGAGAATTACTAGAGCTTGCCGGTTGCCAGCCTAGCTCTAGCTCTAGGTCCTGTGCAGGCCCTTTCTCACAGGAATAAGACACCTGATGTCCTTGTCTGCTGACTTCCTTGTGTGTGCACACACACACACAGACACATACACGCAAACACAGATACACACAGAGACACACACACAGACTCACACAAACACAGATACACACACAGAGACACAAACACACATAAATACACACAGACACACACAGAGACACACATATACATAGACACACACAGACAGACACAGACACACATACACAGAGAGACACATACACGTACACATGAGACACAGACACAAACATCACACACAGACACACACAACATGAGACACAGATATACACAGACAGAGAGACATACAGACACACAAACACACACATATATATATACAGACATACACACACAAGACACAGACACATGCACAGAGACACACACACACATAGACATACAATATGAGACATACACACACACACACACACACACACACACACACACACACACACACACCCGAGGCCCCTTTCAGACTGTGGGCAGAACACAACATGGAGAGAGGCTGTTGGGGGCTATTTTGTGGTTCTTGTTTCTTCTGTAAGGGTGAGATCCAATGAAGCACGGATGAAGAGAGGCGTGCGCTTGAAGCTGTCCTGCCTGTCAGTGGCGGGGGAGGGGACCACTAAAGGAGAGAGAGAGAGAGCATGGAGGCCAAGGAGAAGGGTGCCGTGGAGGGGTGTGCGAGGACACATCCACAGAGACATTGGTAGGCTGGGGTGAGTAGGAGGGATGACACATGACTGGAGCTGGCTGGGCGGGTGGTGGGGTTATTTATAGAAATGAGGAAGTCACTGGCAGGAGGTGTTTTGGGCAGGGGAGGGGACAGGAAGGGGAAGGAGGGGAGCAGATTCAGTTTGGGAGCACACATTGGTGTCTGGACACCTAAGGCGTGCCGGTCAGCCGCAGGGGTCCCTGACTGTTAACCTCAAGCCTTCTTGAAGAGGATGTTGGGTGGCCTCACTATCTGAGGTGCTGGGTGGGCTCCCTGTTGAGGATGCTCGGCTCTCCACGAGTGTCTCCTGGTGGCCTCAAAAGCTTGAGTGTTTTGGGAGGTGTGGGGTTGTCATCAGCCGGGACTTAGAGATGACAACGACAAGGCCACCTTGCCACCAGTCCCGCTCTGTTGGTCCTTTAGACCTTCCGAGAAGTCACAGTGGCAGCCTATCCTTAGAGGCTGCTCCCAGGAGGAGTCTTCACACAGACCCAGGAAGGCCTGCTCCACCTTCCCTCATCCTTCACCACCCTGCCCCGGCACCAGTAGCAGAGTTAGAGCCCAGCCACAGGACCAGGGGAGACATTCTGGCTCACGAGGCCGGGCAAAGCTCTGCCAGGGAGGAAGTCAGGACCCATTCATCCTTCCCCTGAGAAGGGAGCTGTCTGGATAGCCATGAGTCCCCGATCCTCCATTCACCAGTTCTGGACCCTTTAATCATTCCACAGGGACAAACACTATGTGATTTTTAAAAAAAAATTAGAACTAGGTTAATTCCAAGTTTTAGGTGAGAGATGGTTCCATGAAGAAACAAATCACAAAGGAAATAAGAGTCACTCAGTCAATCTTTTCAACCAATGGCTGCGACAGCTGTGCTCACGTGGCCCCAGCCCTGACAGATCAAGGGCTAGGAGGGTGCTGATGTTGGTGATGCTGAACAAACACACCACAGGAGGAACCATACCTCAGGTTTTGGGAACTTGAGGCATCATTCCAGAGGAAGTGATGTCTCAACTAAGGAAAAAGATGAGCCCGAAACTGTCCAAGAAGGGGAGTGAGATTGCTGTGGGCCACAGGAACACCAGGATCCATGGCCTAATGGGATGGGTTCCAGCTCCACCATGACACCAGAAGGCCACTCTCTTGAGGGAACCAGGTGTTCAAAGACGCCGCCTCAGTGGGACTCAACTGGGAGTGTGCTTAGAATCACATGGGAACTAAGAAAAAAAAAATCCCCAAACCCTAACCCAATGCAGCCATCAGGCTCCACCCACCCTCTGACATTCTGGTTTGCTGGGTTAGAAGAAAGAAGTTTGCGCGTTGGCAGAATATAAAGATCCCCTTATGACGCTGGCGTGCTGGGCTGGCTTGGTTTATTTCATGTTCAATTTGACGCAAACTAGGGTCATCTGGGAACCTCAGTGGAAAAATGTCTCCATTAGAATGTCCTGTAGGTTGGCCAGGGGATGGTGGCTTCTGTGAGTTCGAGGCCAGCCTGGTCTACAGAGTGAGTTCCAGGACAGGCACCAAAAACTACACAGAGAAACCCTGTTTTGAAAAGAATGTCCTGTAGGCAAGTCTCATTTTCTTTAATTATTGGTGCGAGAGGGGCTCAGCCCACAGTGGGCCTCTAGAGCCAACCCCTGGGCAGGTGGTTCTGGGAAGACTAAGAAAGGCAGCTGAATGTCAGCCGGGAGAGCAAGACCACACGCGCAGTAGTTCCCAGTGGCCTCTGCTTCAGTCTCTGCTTCCAGGTCCCGGCTCTGACTTCCCTCAACGAGGCACTGCGATGTGGAAGTGTAAGCCAAGTAAACCCTTTCCTCCCCCCAGTTTCACTTCATCCTTTGTTTATCATAGTGATGGAAAGTAAGCCAGGACAGGTACAGGCTGAATATCACCAGTCCCTGCGGGCCTGTTTGCAGACTTTTGCTAGCGTACTGTTCGGTTGATCTTCCATGGCACAAAGACTGGAGTTCCTTGTGGAGTGACCGGCGGGGAAGAGCAGTGGTTCTGAGGGTCAGTCTGCCTGGGTTTGAGCCCCTGGCTCCGTTCCCCTCCTTTCCCACCTCCCCATTCTTGGCTGCCACCTTGAACCAACCCCTGTGTCTTTTCCTGTTACCGGTCTTATCCTTGACCCTCCTTCAGGGGAGACAAGAGACCTCTTCTGTAGCATCCAGGTGGGCCCCAGGCTCTGCTCCAGGCTCAGGTAGGCACTCCTTCACTCGGTACTTTAGACGAACCCCACACTTGTGACGCTCCCCCCCCCCCCCCCCTTTCATGCTTCCCTTCCTGGGATGGCTTCCTCACTTGCATCAAGTTCCTCTTCTTGTCCATGTGTCAAGACACCTGGATTAAAGCGACTTGAGGTAGGAGCGGATCGTTTCGGCTCCTGGTTTGAGAGGACATGTTCCACTGCGGGACGGAAGTGTGAAGCAGCTGGTCACATTGTGTCCACACTCAGGATTCCGAGAGAAGAAGGCATGGGTGTTAGGAATCTGCGCTCCGGTCTCCCTCCTCCCACTCCAGACCCCGCCCCTCAGAAAGCCCGCCAAGTGTTGGCTCCTCCCCCAGGGTTGCTCAAGACCACACCTACAGGGTATTTAAGACCGATCACCAGACCTGCCAGGTGATTTTCTCTCCTGTCTCCGAGAGTCACTCGGGAGTCGCTTTGCTTATATTAATATTTTGTTTATTAAATCTAGTCTTATTAATTCGGCTTGATTTGGCTTATTGCTTCGGCGGAGGATACCCAATAACCGGGGATCCAATACTTAGCAGCGGGCGCTTATTGGCTTCCTCCTTTCCCCCTTTCTACAGGCCCTAGTCACGGAATGGTGCCTCCCCCAATCTGGCTAGGACTTCTCTCCTCAGTGTCTGGAAACACTCTCACTGACACATCCAGAAGTGTGTGTCCTAGGTGGTTCCAAAGCCGATGAAATTGCTAGTGAGGATTAACCATTATACTGCTTTTTCTGTGGGAATGTCCTACGATCCTCCACCGAGCTTAGGGGTGACCCCAGGAAGTTTATTATGTGAATTACGGGCACTTGGCTCCTAGCATGCCCTGTAGCCTCTGCCCTGTGTGCCAACAGACCGCACAAGCCCAGGCCTAGAGCCCCCAGCACTCAGTAAACGAGGACATTGTAATTCTCCAGGCGACCAGAGACTGTGAAAGGACACTCTCCACATGGAAGGCCATTTAAACCACAGGTTTGGAAATGGGGCCTCATGTTTTCTTCTGCTTTGTAGTGACGCACACTTCCATGGAGGTTGTGTGTAGGAAATGGGCGGGAGACAGCAGTGTTGTAACTATCTTTTTTTGTCACCTACCCCCCAAGTCCTTGTGTCCCCCCACCATTTTTCTCTCTGGAGATAAGAGTCTTACTATATAGCCCTGGGTGACCGAGAACTTGCTATGTAGGACAGGCTGGCCTGGAACTGGCAGTGGTCCAACTGCCTCTGCCTCCCGAGTACTGGAGTTACAGATGAGAGCTACCACCAGGTACGTCTTCCCCCACCTTTGCCTGGTTGTAGCCCAGATCCTGAACCTCTTTGACTTTCAGTGGTGACATTTCCAGAGGATCCTTGACAATCTCAGAGACCCCGGAAGTCTCATGCATGAAATTGCTCTCCCTGCTGGGAACCAGGTTCCTCTGCACTTTGATCTTCTAGCTGGGATCTAGTGATGGTCACACCCTTCAGGAGAAGGGGACAGAAAACGTCAAGTGTATCATGATGCATTTCTGTTTGTGTATCCCTGCAGGTCTCCACTGTTTGGCCACAGTCCAGCGTCAATTATGAGTATGGAAGACATGCCCGGGCATGTCTGGTGGATAGGCTGGCCAGGAGCCCATAGGCTGGAAGACCAAGCTGATCCTTGAGAGGGGTGCTTGACTTCTACAGCAAGCCAAGTGATCTGGGCTTGGACTAAGGTCTGAGTTAGGGAGGGAAAGCTCTCCTATGAGCACAGGTGAATATTAACCATCACGGTGGCGGCAGTCATGGCAGTGAATGAAAAAAAGAAATTAAAAGGAGGCCATGACGGCTCCTAGGTATGTGGAGGAGAAAGTCTATTGTAGATATGAGGGAGAGCACAGCCAGAGGCAGAGACATCTGGGAGAGTCCAGAGTGAATGTGACCCTGGGGAAGGGGGGGGGGGGTGACAGGACCGGATGGGACTGGGTGGGGGGAGAACATGTGAGGAGAGGGGTATGGGGGGAGAGGAGAGCCAGGAGACCAAGAGACCGGGAGGCCAAAAGGGAAAAAGGGTACAAAAGACAGGTGTAGCCAAAATGGCTGGATTATATAAGGAAGAGTAGCCAGGGGAAGGGCAGCCTAGCCTCTGGGTTGGAGAAGTTTAGGATAAGCAGTGGGCTATGCCAGCCAGGACTCTGTAACAGGTAGGGACTGAGGAATTCTGGGAGAACCTGGAGGCTAGCATCTGCTTTTCTCTGCTGAGAGGCACCCTAGTTAGCATTTGTCCCAGGTTTGGGACCTAAGAGTAGGCAGCACTTTCTGAACAGTTAGAAGCCTGGAGCCCTATTCAAGTCTTTTTCAGGCCATTTCCTCCCCTAGGCCAGTACCAGAAAGTATTTCGAGATTTTATATTTTATTTTATTTTATTATTAATTTTTAAAATGACTTTATGTGTACGGCTGTTTTGTCTGCAATTATGTCTGTGCACCACATGCAAGCCTGGTGGCCGTGGAGAACAGAAGAGGGTGTTGGATCCCCTAGAACTAGAGTCACAGATTGCTATGAGTCACCACGTGGGTGCTAGAAATTGAACCCGGGTCCTCTGGAAGAGAGCAAGCAGCCAGTGCTCTTAACTGCTGAGCTGTCTCTCTAGTCCCTAGATTTTCGTATTTTAGAGACAAGGAAAACAAAGCTCATGCCATTAGCTGTCTTTGGAGTCCCCATCTGTCTGAGCTGTGACTCTCTGGGGACTTCCAGAAATGTTGGGTGGGGTTTGGCAAGGGATGATTCAGAACCAGCCAAACATGGACTTCTATTGTTCTTGCTCTTAGACTGGCAGGGTCTGGGAAGTCTCAGGTTACAGTAATAAGGTTTTAAAAACTGGAATTGTTTTCACTCTCCACTCTAGTATATCATTTCTTCAGTCCTTGCTTGTGAATAGGTATGGCTTTCCTTAGCACACTCCTTTAGAATCTATTTCCTGTCCTGGCTTCTCTGGCCCACTCTTTTTCAGTAGGCACAAAAACTGAACTATAGGACAAAACAAACATTGAAGTGTCGTAGTTGGCCACAGCTGAATATGGTTAGCATCGGAGCCACTGATTTGTAAGGAAAGTCTGATCCGTGACAGTATGGTATGCAAAAAGGGAACCGACCCCCCACCCCACCCCCAGCCGGACAGGGCAGAGTGACGTGTGCGTTGTGTCCAAGTGTTTATTTATAGGTCACTCCGTAGGAACTGGAACCCCCTTCTTTGCCTAATTCCTGTTACAAGTAGAGATTACCCAGAAATGCTCAGCGGTGGCTCGGAACACCAGGTCTATGATCAGACAACAGGAGAAGCCACTCTGCTTCGATGCGCAGCTGATTTCGCTGTTCCTTTGTTATGACCTGGAAGTGCACTGCTGGATACATTAGGTAGGGAGCGATGAAGTCATGGCCAGAAACACAGCTTTCTTTAATTTTCAGGTTGTTAGGACTTGGCAAGACCTCTGCCTCTTTCCATCCCCACCCCTACTGGATTTTTCTGGAAGCTTTCAAGCTTTCCTCCAAATCCTATGCGCGCGCGCACACACACACACACACACACACACACACACACACACACACACACACACACACACACACTCTCACACGTGGCACAGTTGCATGGAGTACAGCAAGACACACTAGCGTATCGTTTCCTAGACTTCTGGAACCCCTTCTCCCCAGGGTCAGTTTGTGAGTCCCAGTGTGAAATGCTCCTCCCTGTAAAGTCTGATGACAATGCCATGCTAATGATTATACGTATACAATATACCTCCCTTTAGAGTGTATAGCCACCCTTCCATTGCCTCTTCTTCCCCAAAACCTGTCGTCACCATTGCTCATTCAGACAAGAGCAGCAGTCTGATGGGCTTCTTTACTAACCCTACCCTTACCCAGTTCCAACTTCCTATGGTAGCCGGACTGAGCTTCGAAATGCTCCCCAGTACCTGCCACCTCCCACACACCTGCAGAGTGTGAGCCAGCTCCTGTTCTTACGCTGGCCTCCCGTCCCCTCCCACCTCTTTTCTCACCCACATGGCCCTGGCTGCGAAGACTTCTTACTAAGACCCTGACTCTGGGCTCCTGCTCTGGCCTCTTTCTGCGTCTGGAATGCTCTCCCCCACCCTACCTTTTTGTCATCTGGCAGGCGTCAGTTTGAACCTAAGGGCCACTGTAGAGACGTCCTCCTTGATCTCTCTAAAGTGAACAGCCTGGGCTAGACTCTGTCACGAACACCCCGCTTTTGTACCCGTATTAAGAGGCCGGAGAGCAAAATAGCTAGAGTGAAAAGAAGTATAATGCGTTGGTCCTCACATAGGCTAATTAATGCCTGAGCAGAAAGCACAGGGACATGAGCAGATGTCAGCACACTTTACCAGTGTGACCTTGGTGCCACAAGATGGGATGGCAAAGAATAAAACGGAATCCCGACCGCTAACTTAGAAGTGCATTCCTGAACAGACAAGAAGAGGTCTGGGAGAGAAAGAAGTCAGCTGTGTGGAGGGTTTAACGGTGAGGATGAAGAATGACTGGGTGGGAGGCAAAAACGTTGAGCCCTTGTAGATTCTGTCTCGGGCCACGTGAAAGAAGTGAAATTAGATCTGAGATTCGAAAACAATGCGTTTTCACTCTCAGGAATCAATCAAGATGCTCCTGGTTCACCGACTCAACAGGCTTGTGGTTTCAGGAGAGTCCCAGACAGTCTAGAACAAAGAACTCTTGCTCAGCTTTGCATTTCGAACTCAATCCCCCCTCCCACCCTGCCCGCCCCATAGCTAGTGAATGCTTAATAGTCTCAGAGCCTGGTTGCTGAGAGAGAGAAGGCTTCCCATGTTTCAAGGAGATCCTTTGTCTCTATCTAGAAGAGCAGCTTGGGCAGGCGAGCATAAAGAAATGTGTTCGGCTGCAGCACTGAGAACAGAGGATTCAAGAAGAAAGGAGTGCGGGCCCTGAGGATGGGAGAGAAGACTGCCTGATGCTGTGTAAGGCTTGGCAGGAGGCTCAGAAGGGATGGGGAGGCAGAGGAAGTTGCCACGTGCTCCTCCCATCTATCCAAAGCCTTGAGGTGGAATGTCAAGGGAGTAGAAAGAGCCCTTCACAGGAAGTTGGAGGTTGAGGGGTAATGCTCCACTTCACATATGGGTCCCTGTGACTCCCTCGATGATGTCTTTCCATGGCAGCCTAGCACTGTAGAAACACTGGCAAATCCCTTTTTAGCAGAGAAAGGGCCTGTGGCAGCGGCCCTTGCTCCCATGTAGCTTGTATATAAGTAAACTTCCTAAGTGTTCCCTGGAAATCCATAAGGAGGCTGGGCGTGGAGTCAGAGTCTATTATGAGGTTACTAAGCCAGTAGAGGTCCAGATCTGGGCCCAGAGAGAGGACAGGGCTGAGTTCTAGGAGCCCGGTGACAGGGAGCAGTGAGCTAGCCAGGAGCATTTGTTAGGAATTGTCTGCATGCTGAGAACAAGTCATGTATAGCCCAAACCCAGCTGGACAAGCCACAGGGGAGGATGTGGCTCAGGGACAGCACATGAGACAGGCATTTAAGGGTTCTCATTCATGATAAGGTCAAACAAGCCCACAGCATATCGAGTGTGATCTGGTCCCGTTCTCCTCTGAGCTGGCTGGCTCCCTTTGAAGGGTTGTACTGCTGTATCTGTTTATTGCTCTCCACTGAAGTCTCACTTTGAGACTGAACAGACAAGACAGACCTCACACAGAGCAGAGTGCTGAGCAAAATCCACAAAGGAGTAAACGGAGAGATCCGAGAGTGCAGTCTAGAGAAAGGGCATTCAGGGCGACTTACGGCTCAGGTCCCTTATGATCCCAAGAGCAGATGCAATGCATGGACAGTATGGGGACATTTGATCTCCAATCCTGGCAAACTGGTGCACATGCCAAACCAGGAGACTTCCTGGATTTGGTACCTCCGAGCAGAAGCCAGGATGCTGTGTAGGAGACTTGGACATCTGTTTTGGTCACAAACCTGGACAACCTTCAAGTCCCCAACCCACTTACCCTCACCTTAAGGCTTGGTGATTGCCGAGTGAAATTCTAATTTTATCGTTGCTGACTCAGAGGCAGAGGAGGTTCTTGCTTTGAGTCAGAGCGCCCATGTGGAAAGACCTCACTTCTTGGAGCTGGCTTTGAGGCTGGCTCTACCACTCACCAGCTGTGTGCCCTGGACCACTTCCTTCACCTCTCAGATCATGGTGTTCCTGCTGGTAGGATGGAGATGTTTACCCAGGGTTAGGTTTACATTTAGTACATCGCTATAATAAAAAGTTAGGACGTGGCAGATCACGGGAGAAGTAGAGGACCTTCGCCATGCTATAAAACTGCTTTACTGCCCACGGCTTGTTTACTTCTTCATCAGACCAGCTCGTTGGGTGAGAGAACGTTGTTGAGTTTAATGCAAAGGTGAGGCAGATGGAATCTAACTTGAGCTGTCATAACAGAGAAGAGGATGTCTGAGTGGGGGAGGGCACTTCGGACTCACTGGGAGGAGAGGCAGGAGGAAGTCATCACCGAGGGCCACAGAGGGTCCCCTCTTACTCTGTCCTTGAGCTTCCAGTCATGGGATGAATTGAGCTCTGGAGATGTTCACCCTCTTTAGAGTAGGGAGTGGTTCTGGACAGATCTGCCTATCCCCGTGACTGTAGGTGATATCTGATCTAGACCAGCTTGTGGCTGTGAAGACATACAGGTTTCAATTAGTCTCAGCCTTAGCCTCCTGCGCTCATTCTCCCAGGCCCAGCTTCACCCTTTCCCAATTCTTCCACGACAATCTTTCCCCCTTAGAAACAGCTCCTTGTTCACAAGGAGGTGAAGGATTTCTGCCTCTCCCCAGGATGCTCGGCAGGTACTTGACTGGCTACC